ACCTAACTAAACATGCTGTATGGTGGTTTCATAAATTAGTTTTACAAGAAAAAAGGCACGTGGGGAAGACAGGTCGTATGATATTATCTTGAAGTATAATGTATATTATGAGAGTACAATAATGTCACCATCCCAGGTTACTTCGGCCGAGCAGGCCCGGTAACTCAACCTCTCTACAAGTCGTACCCTTGCATCGCAGTGTACGCTCAGCGAATACTTGCTGATCTAGGAGGTATAGAACACTGGGACCTACCTCAGGATATTAGGCCTAATGACGCCAACGCAGTGCATCCTAACACAAACATGTTAGGTTATCGCCCATCAGTCAACTTGTCAGCGGAGAAACAATCGTTCCTCTCGAAAGTCGGGATCACGCACAACAACTTTCCGTTCAACAATGGGACCATTGCATTGAACATCCCCCTCATGTTAGCTATACAGAGGGAACTCAATCAAGTAAAAGGCATTAACTTTGCACCTTTTCCTAACGTCGCCGTAGGCAGTTCAGGACAGATAGCCTTTTCTTATGCAGTTACTTCAGTACTACCAGGCATCGACAGTGACGAGAATCAAACTCTCAGGAGTTTTTGTAAAATTTCAAACCCTGTAGCTTTTGTAAGCTCGCACGCTAAGTATCGCACCCTCTATGAGTAAGGGGAGATCGAAGAGGACCATATCATGGTCAATTGGTGCATCTACAACTATGTAAATGATGAAATCCCTGCACTTTACAACGATCACGTCGGGGTCACCACTGAAGAAGTAGGTTCTTCTTTAACTATTTTTGTTACTTTTATGATAAAACTATTCAAGAAACTGATAGAAAATAGAATTTAATAAGCATGACAAAAACATAAGTGTATGAATTATAATACCCCCGCCGCAGTAAACCTGCAGTCTAAGCGAATTTCCATTAGCCTGATAGGATTTCACATTAAAATGCCTCCTTAAAAATATCATATTTATTCCCTATTTAAATAGAATTAGTTTAACGAGTACTTAGGTTTGCTGCAACAGGGAGGGTATGAAGGTGGTTTTTATGTTAATATTTTAGTAAGAAATGAATGTACTTTCCAAATTCGATCAAAATATGTTCATAAACAAGTAAACTACAACAGTTGACTTATTCTCCATAAGATTAACATAGGGATTTTAAATTTACAATTTTTTGGAATTTTCTCTGTAACCATTAGGCGCACAATAACGCTTCAGTATACTAAATTATTTGTTTTTTTAAGCTGTACAAAATGGTTTGGAAATAAATTGTAAAATTTTGTGTTTTTAGGGTCAAAAATGGGAAAAACCTATTTTTACCCCATAAAACCCCCCATAATCCCCCGTTCCCATAGTCCGATCATGCTGGTTCGCGAACTCGTTCGAATAAATGTAGGTTTACACGTTTGTACCCAATTTTCATCAAAATCGGATCATTTTTGCTCGAGTTATCGTGCTGACGGACACACACACACACACACATATATATATATATATAAATATATATATATATAAATATATGTATATATATATATATATATATGAATTTGAACGGATGGTGTTTTTGGCCTCTAGGCACCTCAAAATGAAAAAATAAATCGGTCCCGGGTCCAGGTCTTACCATGAGTACTACGGTAATAGCTTATTCCCTATATGGGAAATTCGCTAAAAACCAGGAATGAACTCTTAGGTAACCATAGAAACTTATTAGAGTAAACAAAAACTAAATTTAAACTATAAAAAAAAAACAAATCATTGTCCAGCTGGTTGCACTCACCAGAGCCTGTATGCATATTGTATTATGGTTTCGTAAAACTTAACTGTATTAATTTTCTCCATGAGGAATCCTTTATATAATACGTGAAGGCGATTTCTACGAAACACTACTCCTCCGTTAATAATTGATGGATTTTTACAAACGAGTTGTCAAAATTAAGCATTTTTTGTGTAAACGCCCCCTTTCACAAATTCATGTAATAAAAGTCTTCGGGCTTTGCCCCACAGTCCATCAAAATCCCAACGTATTTCTTATGAAGAACTGTTCTTAGTAAACAAATGATGCAAACAAGAATGTTCGTTTTCAGATTGAGTTCGTTTTCGGTTTCGATAACTGGAGTGGAGTGATTAATATCTTTGAGTTGACTCTTTTAAGTCAACGGAAATGGTGACTGTTTTTCGTTAAAAAAAACGCCTTTAATATTTAGCAATTGCTCGAATTCAAGCAACAGTTGCACTAGTCATATATAAAAGTTGTTTGAGGTGAACAATTAAAAAATCGCTAATCATATTGCAAGTGTATGAAATCAAATTAAAAAATCTTATTTATGTTGATATTTTGCATTGGCTAAATTATAAGTTACATGTATTAAGTGCCCTTCTTACTTTTTCAGAGTTCTTACTTCTTCTTCTTACTTTTGATGGAGTCTTTGTTCCATTTGCTATAAAGATGGATTTGTTTTTAGAAAACTCACAAACTAAATATGAATGGGGTGGACACGAAACAATTGTTGCTGTGTGTGCAATTAACGATGTTTCCATACATGTCTACTTTGAAAGAAGTACTGACAACTTCCAAAAGCAAACATTTGGACCCCCAAAAAAGACGCTCCAAATAGTGCATAGGTTGTCAAAGGATGAACAAAGTGAAAGTAAAAAAAGGAATCACTATAATAGCGTCCTTATTTTTTTCCCTCATTGATAAAGCTGTGTAGCCCCATTGTATTATTTTATACATTTTTGTACTATGTTATAGGTAATGTTTTATACTATTTTATTCAATTTTATAATTTATACTATATTATACTATTTTTATACACTATACAAATCGTTTCAATAATTTAACGATTGATTTGGTATTTAATTATTTCTTTCCCTATTATTTTGAATTAAAATTTAGTTTATGTTCGTCATTATCATCAAATGACGTTTGTCATTTTTAAATTGTTATTTGAAAATTCATTATCCTTCCACATATCATTCTTTGCTTTAGCAATGTACAAATAGTACATAAATATCGATATGCCAGTAAAGAAAGAGAGCTAATGTATATGTACTACTGAAAAGAAATGTCTATATTGGGTTGAATCAAAATACTAAAATATGAGTCTTGTAATTCTGAACTAAGTTCAAACCGTTTTGGAAATCAGGAATAAATTTGTCATTGTAGAATTATTATACTACACTAAGGAAAGTTCCTAAGCAGTTCCTCTAATTCCGAGACAAAGCCAAGAATCCGCTATAATAAACCAAATAACATGGCCAAGAGCTTCACCTATTTCCATCAATGAATTTACACGCTACGGATATATTCCACAAGCATTCCCCCATTTGTTTCCAAACGGTGCTGCAGAATTCCTTGACCTAACTAGGAGCATCAAGGTTTCATTTCGAGAGTGGTGTGAGTTTCTTATAAGATATAAAGACAAACGATTTTCTCAAGATCCTCGATTCCGATTTTTCTGTTTGAATACAATGCAAAGACGCGATGTCAAAAATGACTTTTGTGGTAATATAGCACAATAAGAAGTGAAAGTAGCTATAAACCCGTCATTAATAAAACGTTTGCTGACATGGGGTTCCAAAATCCGTGGCACTTCATCATTTTGTTACCAACGCCGTTTGGAGCTTCAGCCAATGGTTAATCAGCTGGGCGTACCAACGTTGTTTGTTATTAAACAATTCTACAATTTTAATTCTCTTTTAGGTTACTACTCAACAACATGTTCTAAAAATCTAAAATTTGTCGAGTGTTTACATATTTTTTAAATTTATCAATTGTTTTTGTTCATTTTACATTTTATAAATTTAATTGAAAAACATATATGGAAGATAGAATGCACTGAAGTCCTGAAATTGTTACATGATTTTTTCATTACAGGATGAACAGAGCCCTAAACACGGCGGAAGCGATGCTAATCAATGAACATCGTGCAGTGTGCCATGGGGTGCGGGAAATATTAACAGCCGTCACGTGGTGTGACGCAGGCTTGGCTGCTGGTCTCTATGGTATGTGTATCTATGTATTGTAGAATATAATTACCCCATATTAATTATTCATGACGTATATTAATTATTTTCATCATTTGAGTATCGATTAAGGCCAAGGTCAGCCCTGTCGCACGCACGCACCCACACACTCACGTGCGCAAGGGGCAGGGTAGCTAGGCCGATGAATAGCTGGCTGGGGTAGTGCGGCCGTCAAATCCCATTAGTGACGCTTCACCGAATACTTCAAAGCGGAAATGTAATACAAAATCATTGTATTCGAAAATACTTGATACAGTACTGTATTGTTACATTATACAAACAATTGTTTGTTTGTCCCATGTTAATTGGCCAACTACAGTGTCGTAACAAACTGTTTATTTTTATTACAAGAATGGTAAATATAAAGTGTGTTGTTTGGTATCATTTTTCTTTTGTATTGTGAAGAGTGAAGTCAAAATAAGATTATAAATAAAAATATTTTTATTTTCATTGGTCACAATAGAATTTTTAACGGGCTGTAAATAAATAAATTTCTTATTTGTAATATATTTCTAATTTTGTTCAGAATATAAAATATTAATCGGGTCGTTTGCGTGGGCATAGGAGTAAACTGATGGCTATCACTGTACCTATACTTGAAATGAATTACAATACAAGGTATTACTATTGGGATGTAATCTTTCAGTTGATGAATATGACGATAAAATGCACTTCTTCTGAGCAACACGGTAAAATTGAGCCCCAAAAATGTTGATCTACCTTGCACATCATCGAGTGTACTAGAACCGATGAAAACCTCAAAAAAGGTTCTGCCATTCGTTCTGGAATTGCATCAAACGAGAATGGCCAATTTAAAAGAAGAGCACGATATAGAAATGAAGATTTTGACTCAAGAGTTGAAGACCAAAAATCAAGAGTTAAAGTATTGGCAATTAATGTGCTCGTCTATTCAACACCCTACTGGTACTTTACAAATGCCGTTGCAGCAAGTGAATCCCGAGGAAAACAATAATACAAACTCAAGTACATTTCACCTAATATACAAACAAAAATTGTTGTTTTAATAACAAAATAAGCTACTTGTCACGTATAGTTTTATTTAAGTCTCAAGGTAGTTAAATGGTTAACATTTTTTACCCCTTTGTTTATACTGAAAAGTGACGTCGAATAAGACCTGCCCGACTTACAATATCGTCTTGTACTTCATGGTCTTCATCCTGATCTCCGTCGACAGAACTTTCATCAGAATATGTTGATGATTCTACAACAATGTTCCATTGACCTCTTCGAAACCCGAAGTTATGCAGCACAGCACAGGCAACAATTATAGTACAGCATCTGCGTGGCGTAAATCTTAATGTATTTTCGGTGTGAATACATCTGGAATAAAGATAATCACAGTGTTAAATTGAACCACAGGACAAAAAAAACATTACTAACTTTAACATCTACTGTAATTCAAGGAAATATATTTGATTTTTAAGGCTCTGCATCTCTGTCGGACATTTTGCTTAAGTTAAGAAGCCCAATACTAATTTCAAAAACATTTTTTACGTTATTTCAAATAACTTTGTCTCATTTAAGACACCACAAAACTACATCTAGTTTGAAAAGTAATCCTAATATTTTTTCTTAACATCTAAGAACTCCAATTAAATATTGGAGTTAATTGGTTTATTCTCACAATCTTTTTACATCTTTAAAAAAATACTTAACAAAATACTGTGGCTGCGTAAATTCTGATCTGTACAATGTTTCACTTAGTTTACCTAAAGCGATTTTTCCATAAGCCAAACATTCTTTCAACACAGCATCTAGTTCTTTTGAGGGCTCTCTGGTAACGAAGTTCATCCGGCGTCACAGGATTTGGCAAAGGTGTCATCATAAACCTGCAAATATTTTTATCAGGTTGGTATAATGTAAAATATTTATTGTTAGTGACTTTTCATTGTTGTGTGTACCATTTTTTTATGTAAGTATGTGAATACCTATACCATATTGAGTATGGTCAGCATGAAAACTACTCATGTCACCGATCATACATCAAAAAACACATTTTTAAAACAACAAAAAAGGTAATAATCTCTTTACATGTCAATTATTATTATTTTTTTTTTTTTCAAGGATGCTTAAATTTATTTCAATTCCTTGGGTTTTCATGGCTTAATAACATCCAAACCATGTTATATCATATAGGAACAGCAATCCATATTATTTGCTATTGTTGCTTATGAGGTCTGTTAGTTATAAACACTTACCTATTACATTCATAGACACTGTCTCCGATGAGAAGTCCGCCCAGGTCTCTTTCCTCAAACTTTGCGTATAAAGAGGAGTTCTTGAACACTCTGGAGTCATGGGTGCTGCCTTTCCATCGAGCTACGATGTTAGTAAACTCCAAATCAGCACCACAAGCTCCCATCACGTTGATTGAAAAGTAACCTTTCCTATTACGGTACTCTTCCTTATCCGGTGTTGATGGACAGATTATAGGTACGTGGCTACTATCAACACAGATTAACACTCCAGGAAAGCCGTATTTAGTGAGAAACTTCTGTTTTGTCCTATACGCGTACTCCCCTTCAGGAACTTTAATATATTCAGCCCTCAATCTCTGACTTATTACATTCGCTACCTTGTGAATAACCCTGCATGCACTAGATTCGGACACATAAAGAAGATCTCCTGTTTCTCTATGTAAAGTCCCGTCAGCAAAAAACCTAAGTGCAATTAGCACTTGCTTCCACTTCGGGATGCTGTGTGGACCTCTTTCATCATACACCCCTAATCCTGGCGCCAAGGTTTCATTTCGAGAGTGGTGTGAGTTTCTTATAAGATATAAAGACAAACGATTTTCTCAAGATCCTCGATTCCGATTTTTCTGTTTGAATACAATGCAAAGACACGATGTCTGTCGACAGAGTGCTATATTCGCTAAAAAAGACTTTTGTGGTAATATAGCACAATAAGAAGTGGAAGTAGCTAGAAACCCGTCATTAATAAAACGTTTGCTGACATGGGGTTCCAAAATCCGTGGCACTTCATTATTTTGGTACCAACGACGTTTGGAGCTTCAGTCAATGGTTAATCAGCTAATAAACTTTACTTAATTTTAATTCTCTTTTAGGTTACTACTTAATAACATGTTCTAAAAATCTAAAATCTGTAGAGTGTTTACATATTTTTTAAATTTATTAATTCTTTTTGTTCATTTTACATTTCATTAATTTAATTGAAAATATAATATAGAAGATAGAATGCACTGAAGTCCTGAAATTGTTACATGATTTTTCATTACAGGATGAACAGAGCCCTAAACACGGCGGAAGCGATGCTAATCAATGAACATCGTTCAGTGTGCCATGGGGTGCGGGAAATATTAACAGCCGTCACGTGGTGTGACGCAGGCTTGGCTGCTAGTCCCTATGGTATGTGTATCTATGTATTGTAGAATATAATTACCCCATATTAATTATTCATGACGTATATTAATTATTTTCAATTTATAAAACAGTAAATACAAAATACTAGCTGATGTACCCAAGTTCCGCAACGGAAAGAAAAATGGGATCAGAAGATCACGTTCCCTGAGTATCATAACATATCTTTATAATTTAAAATATCTCATAAATGCAGTAGCGGCTGATGGTAATAGGTGATTTGAGGGCTCTGTATATTTTAACATAGAAACCAGAACCTAAGTTATAATTCATTGTTGTTTAAGAATTTACCACTATTTTTATTTCAATTTTAATACGTACAAAGATAGGCCTACAATATATATAATTCCTTTATTTAAAAATTGTTTTCAAAGCTGCTTTGTTGTAGCATGGGTTTATCACATGACAAACTTAAACAGCTTAGTGAGTTATTAAAAAAAAACACTTAACTGCACCAACAATGGGACTTGGTATTTATAGTTGTCCAGCAACCAAAAATAAGGTAGAAAATAGAGTTTTAATCTAGTCACTAGCACATTCTGTGACTGGCTCACACAACTATGTTCTATTTTAACAAAAAAATTGATACAACTGGTCCATATAGATCAGACGTCTACTTTAGTATCTTGCTAACTTTAGTATATCTTGCTACTTTAGTATCTTTAATAGTCAATGGTTTAACGTTAAAGCTTCAATAAATATTTGCCAATGCACTGAAAGCATACCGTTACAGGGATAAGTTTTGATCCCTTTATTAGGTGAATTATGGTAGCCTATTAAAACGAATGCAAATGGTATAAACTGTGTTTTTTCTTTGCAGACCAGTACAAAGACTCACGGGTCGTAATTAGGCTTATACGTCTATTAATAGGAGGACGTGAGCAAGGCGGCAGAGGTGAAAGAGGTGGACGCCGCAGAGCTGGACATTATCAATATGGAGACTATGAGTGAGGAGAAGAAGACTATTATGGAGGAGGACTATTATGAATTTTTTGATTGTGCAGCATGACATAACCACTGTAACTTCCTTTTCCAGTAAATATCATCTCTTTTTAAGCGCAAGGTAACATCAAAACCACTGATTTCCCATATTGTCATTGATTTCAGTCAAGTATTGCTTCAGTCAGTGATAAATGCTTGGCGTAAGATTTCAATCGACACTTACTTGAAAAGAATGTTCACCTTTATAACGAAACAAATAAGAAACGTTAAACCCGAGACTCTACATCTCTGCTGCAGTGATTTTAGGCACATGGTGTCTGGAGACCTAAAACAGATTAACATCAATGGACCTCTGAAAAATTTTATTTTGTAAGCTTTGCAAGCTATGGCAGTCCTTTTGAACTGTACTGATTTTGAACAATTTAAATGTAATCTGAAACATATATTGTCTGTTTAAATTAAAACTTAAGATGGTTAAGATGGCTAACTTCAAGATGGTTAAGTGATTAGTTGCCTTAAGAACATGTTTTTAGTCAACTATATAGCATTGGGCTATATAGGCATTGGGCTTTACAGCTCTGGTAGAAAACAAACTGCAAAATCATCTCTTTGGAATTATCACATTTTCTACTACATTATATTTAGATTGCCAGCCTCTTTTGCACTACCTCTGCTTTATTGTCTTTATTATACAGGGTGAGTTTTTTAAAGTGATCCAATAGCTAACTTTTTAATTACAGGACTTAGCACCTCACTTTAAATTTGAAACTTGCTCAGTTTTAAGTTTCACTCAAGAATACGATTTCAGATTTTTTCATTGTGGCCGCCATTTTCCAATATGGCTGCCAACTTTAAAATTTCTTATGGAACACCCTGTATTTTATTTTGTTTTTAGTAGACGTCGCGGGGAATGGGCAGAAATTGACCTTGAGATGATCTAGGTGTAGATAGGGTACTCTCAGCTGTTTATCTCGAATGCGCATGATCAGCTGATCACGTGACGTCAGTAGGTGTTTGTATTAAATATTAAATTATGGATAAAAAGTGTTGGCTTGACCGAGGATTGAACTCGGTTCTTTTTATTGGTAGTCGGGATCTTTACCATTGAGCTACAATAGCAGTTATGGGTATAGGTTTTATATTGGTAAATGACACCTTAACTTATTGGGTGTGTAAATATTGGAGGTTTGATTTTAACCTGGTTTAGAGGTTCAATCCTAACCCTATGAGTTAGTTTTAGAGGTTTATGGGTTCAATCCTAACCTATGCTAGAGGTTTATGGGTTCAATCCTAGCCTATGCTAGAGACTCTATCCAACCACAAATCATGTTATTAGAGGTTCACGGGTTTGATTCTAACCTATCATTTTTTGGTTAGAGGTTCGCGGGTTTAATTTTAGCTAATTTTTATGTATTATAGCGGGAGGTTCATGGGTTCGATTTTAACCAACCACAAATCATGTTATTAAAGGTTCACGGGTTGGATCATATCTTTGTTTAGAGGTTTATGGTTTTGAACCTAACCTAGCTGGAGAGGTTTACGGGTTTAATCCTAACCTAGTTGGTTTTGAAAAAAAACACTTTATTCTATATATGTTGTAGTGTATAATGCTTAAGCAGAACCTTACTGTTGAGCATAAATACTGTCAAATGTTGGATGTTATGTGTTTTGAGATGTGTAAAAAATGTGTTTTTAGTATAATGGGAGTTTAAGAGGTTCATGGGTTTAATCCTTTGTAAAAAAAACATTTTATTTTATATATGCTATAGTGTATAATAAATGTTAAACAAACAGATGTTAAAAACAGCTGAAAGAGGGCTTAACTTTACCATTAAAAGCTACCAAATATAGTGACTTTATGCTAAATGAGTAATTTTGGGTTGTTTTTTTCTTTTAGTGAGAGGTTCATGGGTTCGATTCCTAGTTGGTTATGTGACCTTTATGACCTTGTATTGTATATGCATTCCGCTAAATAACATAATCTCACTCTATGTACTGTGTATGTATGTTGTCTGTTTTTTCTCGCTAACGGTTTCTGCCATAACTTTACTTATGCATAGAACTTTACTTACATAGAAGTTGTCATCTGCCATCTGATAATGTAACCTTTCCACCAAATGATATTACCTAGGAGCTGTTATCTGCTTTAGTAACATAATCATACCTATGTACGTAAATTAAGTATTAAATTATGAATAGAAGTGTGTACCTTGATCGGGTATCAAACCTTAATATTTTAGGTAATGGTCAAATTGTCTTAGCTATTGAGCTATGATTGCAACTAATAGCTTATGTTATTATGGATGAGGTAATGATTATGGTGGGTAAAAAGTGGCCCCATATACTATGTCTAGAAAAAGATGGCCTCTAACTAGTGGTGTTTAAATGAATGGAAATAGCTAAACTAGTGGTATCCGATCCACAAGAAATAATGTGCAGCCTATGTATCCTGTTATCCCAAAGGAAAGATAACACAACCGAGGAAAACGTCGTGACACAAATATCCTTATCTAACCATATCCTGTGCTGCGATAAGTAACTTGTCACCAAGAAGTTGCTCTCTAATTATGTGTTATAAAATGAGACTGGAGCGCTAGTATCAATGAAATATGCTTTAGGCAATTTCTATTGATGTATTGAATTGGAAAGCATCTGCAGATCACCTGACAAAAAATTATTCAATAGCAATGAATGTATATACTAACTTACTTGTAACTAGCTAACCGAAGATTCACTATATTGGATTACACCAACTTTAGATATGCGAGTGATGTCTGGAGTAGCTTTTATTGACTTTTTTTATGAAAACAATATTTATGTACTACCTCAACTTTTAACTTCTGGGTACACTTAGAGAAATAACTATGTAACAGGACAATAGTTAAATTACCTATGTCTAATGGTTGAGTAATCTTTTATAGGAATTTGATGAATTATATCTTCAGTACTTGAACTTATGAGCTGGTAGATATTATATTAACAAAATAAATGACTGTGCGGTAAATAGAACACGTATGTTGTGTATATTATAGGTTGGAAC